GGCTGTCTCAAAAACCGCGGCATTCTCTCAGGGTTTGACAGCTTATCCCTGTGACTGTTGTGAAGGTCAACACTATATAGTCTCATGCGGGCAATTCAGAAATCTTGCATTTTCGGCCCGAAGATTGAAATAAGCGCAAGCGCTTATGTTTTAATTGCCTTGGACGCCACAGCGTCAAGGCGTGCAAGAGCGCAAAAGAGTGCAAGACCTGTTTTGGACGGCATTTGATGCTCCATGAGGCTAAGCCCAGCTCAACCATGGCAGCTTCAAGCTCATCACCGTCAGCTTAACCATCATCGTCATCGTTATCTCAACAATCACCATCGTCAGCTTATTAAAGGGATGGTACAGTCGTCAGCTCATCACATGCCAACATCAAATCATATTCAGCTCTTTTGGGCTCAAGTTAAAGTTTCTTTGACGGAGTACAAGGTACGTCTGCTCATTGATTCAGGCTTTTCAACTTCATCTTCGAACAGCTCGTACGTCAACTCAACATTCCTCGCCAACAATCATCGCTCATTAACCGTGGAATAGGAGGCTCTAGGTCAACTCAAACTCTTGGCGTTGTGCAATTACAATTAGACTCTTTAACTTCTCAAGACACAGTCAAGATCAATGCTCATATTCTAAGAACTGTATCGTCAATTACGCCTTCCAGCAAAGTGTCAACTCAGGAATGACCACACCTGAAGAAACTGTATCTTGCAGATCCAGAATATTATCATCTTCGTCCGATTGATATCATTATTGGTGCGACTCTGGGTCAATTACTCGATATTATCAAACACCATCCATCAGTGCCAATTGCTCAGCTTTCAATCTTCGGTTGGATAATACTAGGACCGATCAACTGTGACGTTCTAGGAGGTCCTGGTAGATCGGACGGGGCCGAAATCAACAGATCCTCGACAGCTACACTCACACGTTATTTGTGAGATTCTTTTCCATGCGGTTAAGAGGGTAAAACCTCAGGATTAGATACTGCGAAGGAAGTAGGTAACAGGAATGTCGAAATGACTTTTATTTTCAGGAAAGAGTTTTCGATTTTGGGAATAAGGAATAATATAATATCACACTTGTGGCATTTGAATTGGAATTTATTCACTGTTATAAATGATAGGTATATATATATATATATATTTAGCGAATGCGAGTGGAAGTACAAGTGCAAAAATGTACGTGCGCGTACAAGTGCGAATGCGAATAAAATGTAAGTGTCCGTGGATGTGAATCGTAAGTGCGAAATGGGAAAATGCGCGAGTGGGTACGAATGAATGAATGCATGCGCAAAGGTATCGTCGCTTGAGGTTTTTATATGTTGCCAAAACATGGAAGTAGGGGTGACCTAAATTCCAGTGTTATGATTCTACAGGTCTGAATAAAGCCTATTGTTAGTCTACTTTCATTATGAGTCAGCTATGATTCACGCATTTAAGACCTTCTAGTTGTTCTTGACATAGTTTTCTATTGGTCGACTTAGCCTACATTTGCTATGAATCAGCGATGACTCGTGGTATTAAAATATTATGGCGCCCTTGACATTTAACGTTGGCCTACTTTCGCTTATAAACTGACCATGAGTCAGCGATGACTCGTGATACTAAAATATTATGGAGGCCTTGACATTTAACGTTGGCTTATTTTCGCTTACAAACTGATCATGAGTCACACTTGTGACTAAATATTATGGCGGCCTTGACATTTAACGTTGGCTTAATTTTGCTTACAACCCGACCATGAGTCATACTTATGACTATTCGGTCGACCTATTTTTGTTTTCAAAGAGTTATACTTCGTTATAATAATTCCTTTCTTATAATTAACAAACATATAGTTTGCTTGAATTTAAGCTTTTATAATAAATATTAATCATCGCAATATCGTTTTAGATATACTTTACAATTTTTTTTATAATAATTAGTATATCTAAAATATATCAGTATAACTCTTTTCACATTTGTAATACATTATTTATTAAATGTTTTCAGGTACAAAATGGCTCTGATTGTGATTGGTTGAATCGTTAGGATAGTGTTCCATGCATATTAATATTCAAGATTTTTGTCATAGCCATAGGATTAGTTTATCACTAATCCTTTGATTCCCTTTTTAATGAAAAAAGGGAAGTAACAATTATAAATATAAGTCTAGGATGAAGGTTTCTAGAAGTTGAACTGGTTTATATACGGAGATTTGCCTGCTGAACTGATTTCAGTTTTTGAGATAAGTGTATGTAAGCCAGTTTATAATTGTTTAAATATCTTCTAAATGGTGCGAGTTAGGTAGGTATGTGTAATGAGGTAAGTTGCAGGATTTCCTGTGTGTTGTCCAAATCTTTCATAATAATTATTTGTTAATATAATAATAATTTATTTATTTATAAATTTTATTAAACGAAATTTAAATCGTAGAATTTCTTTTCTGAGATAAAATATGTTTCTATCCGGGTTGTTTATATAATTTCATAAAGAAAACTATATCTTATACGGAAATGTATAATGTATGTATATATGTATACATGTGTGTGTGCTTTCATATACCCTTAATTTTGTTTATATCTTGAGAATTAAGAATCGTAACCACAAACTATAATTATGTTTTCGAAAGGATTTTTGATGGAGAATATATTTATACAAGAAAAATATATCCATATAAGGACATCAACAAAATTTATCCTTGAAATAAAGATATGTATCAGGTGAACTGTTGAATAAATGTTTTGTCATGGATTTTGTTATATT